GGGGGGCGCGAAAGGGGGGGAGCTTCCTGCCTGCTCTCTTTGCCTCACACCCCGCCTCTACGCTCCCCTTTCTTTTGCGCACAGTTTGTGCCCCATTTATTCTTTTAAAGCCTCCCTAAACACACCCCCACTGGCTCCCCAGTACTTTTACATTTTCCCAGGCCAACCCTGAATCTCCCTCTCATCACCAGAGGATGCTTTTGGAAGCTCAGGGTTTTCCTTTCTGACCGACACATCTGCCCTTGGGGCTAAAATCTGGGAAGTGGGAACTCCCACTACACAGCCTGCTGTCCCCATAGGCCACTTTATAAAGGGCACAAAAACAAAGGCCCCGGGCTTGGAGCCTGCACTCCAGCCTGGTGCTTACCCCACCCCCACCGTTTAGCTACAAAATTTCTCTGTCCCTGATTTATTTTCAGCAGCCCATACTAGTAAAAATTATTTTCCTCCTGCCTCAACCAGCCAGCCCACATTTATCTGTTCCCTTTCAGTGTACCAAACCTGGACCCGGAACTTTAAAAAGGAACCACTGGCTCAGTGGTTGAGAGTGCACCTATGAACCAGGAGGTCACTGTTGGATTCCTGGTCAGGGCACATGCGGATGTTCCTGGCTCCCCGACCCCCAGTGGGGGGCATGCAGAAGGCAGAGGATCAATGATTCTCATCATTAATGTTTCTCTCTCCCTTCCTCTCTTTGAAATCAACAAAAACATTTTAAAAAAGAAAAGAAAAGCCCTGTGGCATTCCAAAATCTCTTCTCCTGGGATAAACTGAGTGTCTACCCACCTTCCCTCCTACCCCCCAGCAGTGCTTGGGAGCTCAGGGTGCATTTGTGTTGACCAACTGAGCCTCTTGACTGAAGGAAGAGAGTGGGTGGATGAAAGATTAGCTATTCTGATTTGGAGAGCATTTTTGAGATTCAAATGCTTAACTGGAGAATTTTTTTAACAGAATTGATGGTGGTATTCACTATTTGTTTCCTGGCATTTGTTGCTTATCTCAAAGACAGGTCAAAAGCAGACTCTGACGAGGTTTTACGGTAGAAACAGTGGAGATAAAGTAGGCCTGAAGGTCCTTTTTAGGTATTTATTTCCTCTCTCTACCTCGCCCCTCTAGAAAGAATGAAAGAAAAAGGAAAGGAAGGAGGGAAGGAAAGAAAAGAAACCCACAACTTACTCATTGTACAGAGCAAGGGCCTCAGGATATATGGGTGGTGGTCCCAGCTTCCCGTCACTAACTGCCCTCAAGCCCTGAAGGATTGATTCTCTGAGCCCATCTGTGGGATGGTGATAGGAAAACCAGGCTGCATACCTCCTAGGATTTATATGAGATTCCAACCAGATAATGCATGTGAAAGTGTAAAAGGACACAAATGTGTGAAAATTGTTATTATTCTTTTGAAATTGCAGAGAATTAAAAGCCACTCTTTCCCACATATACTCCTCCAACATCAGCCACAATTTTTTTTGTATTCAAGTACTGTTTCTACCTCAATCACATGAATGCAAATAATACATCCTGATAGCATCCTCTGTTTATCCAATGGCAAAAAGTAAATAAAGACAGCCAATAAATCAACAACTTGAATAAACTAGATATTTTAACTTTTACTTTAAAAAGTCTTTAGCAGATTTTGGAACATGAAGATCTTGATTCTCAGTTTTAGAAAGAGAAGAATAAAGAAAAAAAGAGCCAACCTGTCCTCTTACACCCATTGTGTAAGAAAAGCTAAAAACAAAAGAGGGGAATAATGCTGGCGTCTCCTGTGCATCCCTATTTCATCTTAGATTCTTGGCAGAAACTGACAGCTCTCTCTGTTAGTGGTAAACATATATGTAAGTGGGCACATTTTGCAAATGGCAAAGGAAAAAAACATAGTTTTGCCTTAGTGTGAATTAAATAGCGCCAATCCCTTTTAACACAAGAACTCTTTTCCCCAATGAACTCATATATGGAAACCCAAAACATAAAAGAGAGCTACTCTGGCTGCAGCTGGAGTGGGGTCTCAGAGCCCAGCCCCCCAGCCTTTCTCTTGTCATCCACTCCCTTTTCTACAATGGCTCCTAAGATACCTCTAAAAATCCCAAAGGCACCCTGAAATTCTGTATTGGAACTTATCTTGTAATTATAAAGGGCACTTACAGACTTACAGGACTGAGATTGCCCTTCCTCCATGTGTAAAATCCCACCATTATAGATTCACTTATTGCTATCTCTCATCATTTCTCTTTTCAAATACAAATCTCCTAGGAAATTTTAATATAGTGAATCTTTAAAATGATTAAGCTTATAAGACAGACTCTTTTTTTGCAACAAATTGGATGATATTTGTATTAGTTTCCTAGGGTTGACAAAGTGGGTGGCTTAAAACAACAGAAATCTATTGTCTCACAGTTCTGGAGGCTAGGAAACCAAAACCAAGGGCTCAGTAGGGCCATGATCCCCCTGAAACCTCTGGGGGAAGATCCTCCCTTACCTCTTCCGAACTTCTGGTGGTGTCTGTCAGTCCTTGGAATTTCTTGCCTTGCAGCTGCTTCACTCCAGCTAGGCTTCTGTAGTCATATGGCATTCTCCCTTTGTGAATTTCTCCTCTTTCTACACCAGTCATATTGGCTTAGAAACCCACTCTACTCTAGTGTGACCTCGTCTCAATTAAGTATATCAGCAACAATCCTGTTTCCAAATCAGATCATACTCTGAAGTTCCAGAAGTTACAACTTCAACATGTCTTTTTAGGGGGAGATTGGTGGGCGGCGGGGGGGGGGTACAACACACCCACAATTCAACTCATAACAACACTGAGATAGAGAATGAGGGATCTGCAATTGAGAGGACAAAGGATGAACCTTAGAACAAACTTCACATGCTCCTCTACATTTTTTTGCTCCATCATGTGTGCTAAATAATGACTCTCTTCACTTACCATTGCAGCTCTTCTATCTCCCTGCAGAGTAGCCCCAATTAATTATTGGGAAATTCCAAGGTGATATTTTATGTGTACCGATAAACTCCCAGCTGCAAGTGACAAAATTCCAACTCAGATTAGCTTAAGTTAAATTTAAAGGGGGGGAAGGGGTGTTTTGTTGACTGAGAAGTCCAGCAATGTGTAGGCAGACTGCAAGCAAAGCAGGATCCAGGGCCTCAAACAGTCCCTGCTGAGTTCTGATTCCATGTTTCAGCTAGTCTTCATTCACACTTTACACAAACTTTCTTTAGGCAACCAAGGAAGATGGTCCGAGGTAGCTGCATTTTACATAATCAACCTGCTGTTTGCATTCCCAGAGAATAATTGCATTGTCTAAGGGGATGCAATATTCCTCTTGCACATGTCCTGTATAAAGCCTAAAATGATAGTCACCATTTTCTTCCCTTTTTGTGCTGTTCCCCTCCTGTAAACGCAGGACTATTACCATTGATTGCTTCAGTTGCCCACTATAGGGCTGCCTATTGGAAGGTCATACACCTTCAGTCTACCATGTTCTTGAGCATCCTCAGTGCTATGAAGTCACAGTGTATCCTACATCTGTTTGGGAGGAAGGATTCTTTTACTCTTTGGAGTTATACTTGATCACTGGCTCTTCATATGTTGGTCCTTATGTATGACTATCTTACCAACTTTTTTTTTGAAAATAGCTCAGATTTGCTTAGCAACATTTCCCTTAAGGATTAGTATCTCTCCTTTGTTTCCAAACTTAAAACGGTGAAGGCTCTTATGATGTAAATTACAAGCATTGCCCAAAAGCCTCACAGTGAAGCTTTTACTTTTGGACCAAACCTATCTGCTGCATGCTTTCTGCACTTCTGGTGAG